GGAATTGTAGCTCTGCAATGGATATTCTTGTGAGGGGGCTGTAAATGTGTGTTAGATGTTTGGCGCAGGATCCAGCTAACTAGCCCCACCAATGGAGGACCATGCAAGGACTTCCACTAACATAATCGGGCTCCCCCACTTCCCTTGCACTCCCCATCCCCAAAATTGCTCTGGAGGGCCATAAGAAAAACCTGGAATTCACTTAAAGGGCATTTGCACCAGGATACACACCCTCCAGCATCCTGAGGAAAACTCTTAATCCCCATTTGATTTGATTTGATTTGATTCTTTGGTAAATTTGCAAAAAAACCCACCCCCAAATTTTAGAAAGGGACAAGATTCGACGTGGACGCACAAAGCACTTTTTTAACCATCAAGACTCCTTGTGCTCGGTTCTGTTCCCCATTTCCTGGGGCAGCCCTGCCCTCTGTTTGCCCCTCAGAGCCAGCATGTCACATGGAGGTGGACCTTGGTGGTGACAGCCTCTCCAATAGTGGTGACCATGGAGAGTCAACGGGACACTCCCCTCGCAGCTTCCACCACTCAGGACAAGCACCGGCTGGTCCTCCTTCCTGAGCTTAGCAGCAGCAGCACTGGCGGGGGCAATAGGGACATTCAGGATCAAATCAGAAGCTTTCATAATTCTGGGACTGTCCTTAAGATGGTTGGATGGTGCCTTATACGCCTCCTTCTGGTAACTCCTGCGGCCAAGCTGGTGCCAAATGTACTGCTCTGCTTTCTTTTGGCTCACATGATTGAGACCGAGGTGGGGTGGGTCTTGTCATCTGGGCAGCCCCGAACCTCCGTGCACACTGACCTGGTTTGCGCCCCGGGGAGGTCACTTCAGTGCTGGCTTTCACAATACAGCCACAAGCTCTACGATGGATCCTAGTAACATACATAAGCTGAAAGTGTCTTTCTCCCTGCTCCAAAGCAGTAAAACCTGTTTCAGTGCAACCGTCTCTGGCTTGGCACATGTCTTAAAAGATTGGCAGGTACCAGGTTTGTATGTCACGCATTTCCATGGCAACTCTACAGAGTTAAAGAAGGATGTCTGCAAAGATGCATCCCTGTGGCCTTTTTTGTCAGGACTGAGCACAAACCAACAAAATAGTTGTGGTTTTCTCATGTTTCAGGCTGGGAAGAATCCATTCATTTTCCTGAACAGCAAGGAACAAAGCGCCGAAAGTTTCCCCCTTCATCTTTTGGAAACGTCCTGCTGATAACCTATAAATACACATGGGCATTACGTTATATTACCACAGGCCATGCAAACGTGAATCATTGCGCACTGCGCACCATATTAAAGCCCGCTAGAGTCATAGGTTCTAATTAAGCAAATGAACATGCTGTGTCAAAAGGAGTCAGGGGTGATTAGTAAGCAGCACTGTGGAAAATATTTACCTGCTGGTTCACACTTCTGCAGCTGGAGCAAATTTTAGGAATCTTAGGGGAGCAGAAGTAGATGTGAAGCTCAACAGTGGCCTTCCCTCTCTCTCAGAGTTCTTCCCCCTCTCCTCATAACATCCAGGCAGATGTGCCTCTGTCCGTCATCATGTGTGTTTCTCTCTCCCCTGATGTCCATCGCTGGATGCTTGTCCGTGTGAGGTTGTCCTTGGGTCTGGTCTGAAGTTCCAGACAGCTGATGGGGGCAGACCATGGGCAGCAGGTGATACTTCTGCTAAAACATCTCCACAAGCTGCCCATACACGACTGGGCACAATCAGGCCCATTCTACGTGGTCATGCTCTACGATGAATACTAAGAGGGAAGTAACTCAATCATGAACGATGCCCCCATGCTGGCACTTGGCACCATTTGCAAACCCGGAGCCCCAAGAGGATGTCAGTGAGGGCAGGAGAAGCCCCAAAGAGACTGGAGACGCAGAGGGGCTCAGCCTCCCCACCTAACAGCTGACACGTGTGGTAGCGCAGCAGCAGCTGCTGCTTTCCCCTCAAGTCCTCCAGCCTCCTGATGGCCCCAGAGCTTCAGTTCTAGTTGTGGATATTTTTGGATACAGTATTTTGGGTCTGGATTGAAGAGAGAGTGGCTGAGACAGCGTTTACAGGGTGCTTTCTTTACACCATGGGTAGGCAAACTAAGGCCCGGGGGCCAGATCTGGCCCAATCGCCTTCTAAATCCGGCCTGCGGACGGTCTGGGAATAAGGGTGTTTTTACATGAGTAGAATGTGTCCTTTTATTTAAAATGCATCTCTGGCTTATTTGTGGGGCCTGCCTGGTGTTTTTACATGAGTAGAATGTATGCTTTTATTTAAAATGCATCCCTGAGTTATGTGTGGGGCATAGGAATTCGTTCATTTCCCCCCCCCCCCAAAAAAAAATAGTCCGGCCCCCTACAAGGTCTGAGGGACAGTGGACAGAAGTCCGAGAAGCACACCTAGCTCCCTGTTACAGCAGCTTCTAAGCTTGTTCTTCGATCCTCCTTTGTCTTGCATAGGCTGGAGGTCCTCTCAGCACTCCCACTCACATATGACATTTCACAGCCCTTTTTTTAAAAACGCGTTTGTCATAAAATGCAACAGTTATTACACGCACCAGTCTTATGTACTGGGACCTGCTGAATCTCAGTTTTATCTAGACATTAGGGTTCTTGAATTCATGGCTCTGTGAACAGCAATCGAGACAATCTGTTCTTTGTTTTATTACTACCATTTTGTATTAGAGACAGCTTTCAGCCATAAATGGAGCTGGCTTGGAATGACCTTGGGAAGCTTCAGAGGTCTCACTGTCTGGTTCCAGCCCCGCAGACCAGTTAAACAGGCTTGCATGGATGCAGCAAGACTACATATGCACACATATTCATGTATTATTATAATCAATCAATCAATCAATCAATCAATCAGGGTGCCCCTATTTCTGTCGGAGAAATGTTGGAGGGTATGTGGTCACCCAGTCAGCTTCATGGCTGGTCTCCCAAGTCCCAGCCCAATACTTTAGCTACTACATTTGCTGGCTACTGCAGGCTTCTCCTGCCTGGTTTTCTACAATTCAGTACATCCAAAACATCCACTGAAGATTCATCACTGCCATTCTGTGATTCAGCAGCAACTGAACAATAAAAGCCTTTTAACGGGGCCCAGCACCCATGCGCTAATCGTGCCTTCATACCTGAGCTCTTGTTTCACATCCTCTCCACTCCAGAGTCATAATTTTTTAATCCACTTCCCCGCTTCCTGTTGACTTGCTTGCTATTGCTCAAGGATCGATTCAGGAAGCTTATTATGACAGGTATAACAAGTTCCTTGGCTCAGAGCTACCTGCGGGTAACAGCAGTGCTCCAGGAGGCTGATTATTATAATGAGCACCCGTGGAAGACTTTGGCAGCCGCACAACCTTTCGAAAATGGAACTGCAAAGGAACCCAGAAATTAACAATGTCCCGGCCCACTGAAAGGACCTTTGTTTGCCAGGCACTGTTCCCTTAATCCATGTGCTAACAAGCAGCCCCACAGCAGTTGAAGTATTACTGACATAATTATACAGCCTCAAAGCGTACATTTGTATAGATTGCATCCTCCCCACATTTTGACTTGCACGGCCAGCTCAAAACTTTTTGCCGCCTGAGGCAACTCCAGACACTGGTCACCTCCACAAGGTACATTGAAAGCATGTGGCTACCCCCCCCCCCAAAAAAATAATAATCCTGGGAACTGTACTAAGAGTGCTAGCAATTATAGCTTTGAGAAGAGTAAATTGCCCTTCCCATGATTCTTTGAGAGGGAATCAGTGTGCTATGAATGTGCAGTGTGGATGTGACCACAGATTTCAGCCTGACTGACTGTGGAATCTTACTCCAACACTGGCAATGGGGCGGTGTCTTACCCCACACCTGAGGGCAGCTTTTGGGATGCAGAGCAGCCCTACTGCACACAGAGCCCCTATTCCTTCCAACACCTTGCTTCCATCCCCTATTCGCAGTCCCTACCTGCTGCTTGAGGCAGCTGCCTCACTCTACCTAATGATAGGACCGGCCCTGCTGATACGCAAATTTTCTTGCAATCATTGCTACTACTTCCCCATGTAGCACATAGAAATCACAGGCATAGTGAAGTGTCTTTAGTGGGCTACCTCACTAAAGGATTTTGCCACATATGTTTGTATGTGCGTGTGTGCGCGCGCGCTCATGGCACTCCTGATTTGAATGAAAGGGGAAGAAGTGAAGTCATAGTGTGTATACAGTACAGAGCTTTCTTTTTCTTTTTTAAAAGTGTGACTTACCTAGGGGGATACTAACAGAACCAATGTCTTTTTCTAAAGCCATGATGAAAGAAAAAGGAGCCAGTTTGAGTCAGTATCGTGTTGGCTGCTGTTACATCATACAAGTTGTGCTCGATTTCATCATGCGCCATACTCCCATTGCTCTGGAGGATGTGATGCATCTTTCAGCTGGTGAAGCCAGAACACAAACAATGGAGCAGGCAATAGATAACATTTCATTAAGAAAGATAAATGCCTCGTTCAGAGCAACTTGCTTTGACTGAGACTTTGACTGCGCCAGAAATAGTAATCGGCCCCATTGCCTAGGACTCAGCTACATTAGTAAAGAAACAGCGTTGTGAATGCATTATAAACATGCAACATCAGATGGCGCTGGAGAGTAAAAAAAAAAATATCTACATGATTTTCCACAGTGTTTTTTTTTCTTTTGTTATAACGATTTAATTTCTGACTTATTTATAGCACGTTTTCCTCCTGTGTGTAGATCCACCCCAGTTGCTTCTGCATGGGTGGTGGTGCTGAGCTTAGGTCTCAACATGAGCACAAAGGCCACAACTTTGCAGGAATCGCACTGGGAGCTGTACCGCAGGGGGAGCCCAAACAATGCTGTAGAACAGAATGCAAGGGGCGGGGGGCACCAAATTTTAGCATTACACAGGGCACTGCTGAAATCTGAGAGTCCAAAGTCCACCACTGATCTCACTCACTATTGTCCATACTGACTGATAACAGCTGCTCAGGGTTTCACTCAGGAGTCTTACCTGGAGATGCATGAGAATGGAACCCGGGATCTTTTGTGCAAAAGACAAGTGCTTTACCACTGAGCTACACAGCCCTTTCCCAAAGAGGGCAGTGGGCAGATCAATGCACTCACCAGAGGCAACCATAGTTCTGTCACATCCGTTTCAAATTTCTGAAAAGCCGTTTTCCGCACACACCCGTTGTTGTAGGGAAAGTGGCAGAAGCCTCAGTAGTGCCTGTGTTTGGAGAGAAATATCTCCCAAAAGCACAAGGGAGAGAGAGGATGTGCGGAGGAAGAGGAGTGGCTGAATCTCTCTGCAAGGAACTGAGTCTAAGGCCCTTCTCTCCGCTTGAGGGGGAAAGGGCTTCCCTGTCATTTATATCCTCAGAAGGGCCAATTATGGCGCCATATTCTGTATAGCTGTCAACCACCCAGAAGGAATGGCCTATTTGTCAAATAACGGGGCCAAGTGAGTGTCCTGTTGGGCAGAATTACAGCTTGCTTGGGAACATGGAGCTTATTGTTAAGTCTGCTGTGTGCTTCGGAGGGCGGTCGCCCCCTCTGTTCCACTCTAAAGGAAGGGAGCCTCCGGGACAATTTAAGTGCTATCTTGTAATCATAAAGTACACCACTTCCCCACTATGAAATAATATTGCTTTTTTATTGTAACCAGTAAAAAATTACAGGACTGCTTCCCACAGGATTGCCCTTTTTGGACATATTTGAGCATCCAGCAGGCACACTGGATGTCCCAAAAGGGCTTGGGATCTTCCCAGAGTCCTTTGCTGCCTACAGAATTCTGACACCAGACTTTGAGACTTCTGCGCCTCCTGCATCCTTCTCCTCAGGGTGGGCTGAGCCCTTTCTACCTGCCAAAGAGTGATCTGAGTCGAAGGAGGACAGTTGTGAAGGCCTCTAGCCCTTTTGCACAGGCAGTAACATCACCAGAGGCTTAAATGCCCAAAATTGCAACTGATCAACAGGGAGGCGGGGATGGGGACTGACAGATTTATGGATATGCATCAGACATCCTACTAATCCGCTTTCTTGGGACTGATTCCAAATCAGACTTGGTAGTGGGAATTCAGCCAACTCTATGTGAGAGCAGCTTCACACATCCCAGTCTGTCAATTTACCTGAGAAAATAGTCTGTTCTTCCCTCAGGGATTTTTTGGGGTGAAAGGCAGTTGCACCCTACACTGCAAACCTCCTTTGTGAAGTAAAAGAAACCCACCAAAAACACTTTGAAAATAGAGTGTCCTGACAAAGGACAACAGAAGCGCATGTAAATATAGAATATAAGTGTGCCTGTGTGTGTACGCTCAACTCCCTAATCTCCAAGCGGTGAGGGGCTCCAGAGGTCTCCACTGCTTTTTTAATGTTTAAAGTTTTATTATGTTTTTATATATGTTGGAAGCAACCCTGAGTAACTGGGGCAACCCAGTCAGAGGTGTGGGGGGATATAAATAATAAAATCATTATTATGATGGGATAGGACATGCCTATTTTTATCAGAGAAATGTTGGAGGGCACAGCATCTGAACAACAGACAAAGCAGGCACACTGGTTGTGTGGGAAGACCTGGCTAGGCCTGCCCATGAGGTGAGGTGAAGCCACTGGCAAAGAAGCATCAACCAGTGGCAGAGGAACCCTCTCCGTCAGCCGGGGCGGTACGCCAAGGGGCGGGGCGAATCGCCCAGCAGCCCGATTGGACTGTGCCCACGTGACAGCCCAATCAGACTACGCCTGCGCGACAGCCCATATGGTCGTCGTGCGAGCGACAGCCGTACGAAAGCATGTATGGACGCTGTGCCCACAGCTGGGGGGAGGCAGTGGCCCATCTTGTAAAAACAAACAAACCCTGGTCGTACCCAGGGCGGCCCGCCCCCTCCACCCACCCCCCTCATACACAACTGGCATCAACACCAGTTTCTGGCAGGATCTCGCCAAAATCTCCCTGGAGATCTCTTGGAATGTGCAAAATCTCGTGAGATTTCAACAAGTTCTCATGAGATCTCACTAGAAATTGGTGCCATGCCAATTCTCCTCCAGCAGAGGAGGAGGCGATGCAGTGGGGGGGGGGGTAGCCAGGGCAGCACATCTCATTTTGCCTCAGGTGTCAAAACAGGATGCACCACCCCCGTCACCTGGTCACAGTCCTCCCCATCATGGTGGTAAGATGTCTTGTACTCATTGTGGTGTTCTCATTAAATCGGCAGCGACGCATACTTATTAGCATGCACCAATCTGCGTTCTCTTTTGTTCTGTTTCCAGGTGATTCGTCTCCTCCTTTTAGCATTGCGAAAGTGGCCACGCCTACCGTTGTTGCAAATTATCTGCCATAGGGGCAGAACTTTGCAAAGTGTCAGCAGTACTGCTGCTGATTTCCCCTAGCTGGAATGGTGAAATCTGTACTGAACAGCCAAAGGAGAAGTTTCCGGTTCAGAGCTGGTGTCCCTTACAGACGGGCAGGGGAAGTGTATGACAGACAACCCTGTGATTGGTGCTGCCACAGCAGAATACGATACAGTGTCTGGAATATCATCTAAGAGGGCTGGGAGCAGAGCTAATGCCACTGGGCAGGTATTTTTATTTTTTTAGGAAAGGATGCCTTTCTGGATAGGTGTTGAGTGCAATTGCAGGGTCCAGCTGACCTACTGAATAAAAACGATATCCTCCAAATCTGTGATTTTAGAGCAGGGGTGAAGAACGTTTGACCCCGCAGGTGCTGCTGAACTACAATTTCCACCAGTCACAGGAAAGCGCGGCCAATTGTGAGCCAGTGTGGTGTAGTGGTTAAGAGCGGTGGACTCGTAATCTGGTGAACGGAGTTTGATTCCCCGCTCCTCCACATGCAGCTGCTGGGTGACCTTGGGCTAGTCACACTTCTCTGAAGTCTCTCAGCCCCACTCACCTCACAGAGTGTTTGTTGTGGGGGAGGAAGGGAAAGGAGAATGTTAGGTGCTTTGAGACTCCTTCAGGTAGTGACAAAGCGGGATAGCAAATCCAAACTCTTCTTCTTCTCAATTGCCAGGGATGCTGGGAGTTGTAGTTTGGCAACATCTGCAGGACCAAAGGTTCCCCACACTTGTTTTAGAGAGTGACATAACAGCCACTCCATTTCGGGGCAGTAAATCAGTGGCCTTATCTCCCTTGCACAGGAACCCCTGGAGTCTCTTGCCACTCAGAGATTGGGGTGCATGTTGTGTACGATAACCACAAGTGCCTCATTGTCAAAGGGCAAACTACAGAGTTTGAGAGGCTGAGTGTGTAAATAAGTGTGCGAGAGGGAGAGAGAGTGAGGCAATCCCCCTGCAAGCACAAACTCAGTAGCTCGGCTGCCGCATCAAGAGAGGCAGGCTGACTCACTCCTTCTCAGCCAATGGCCGCCTCTCTCCTCCTCCTGAATGTATATTTGGCTCAATAGGTGGGAGAGATAACAACTCCTGCAAGTAAGCTGCTTGCCTTTGCATTCTGCAGGCGTAGAAAAAAGAGCACTTTACCAGCTTCTCTGCCTTTGAACTCTGATGCCCTCTTCATACAGGATCAGAACTACAGGCAGAAAGAGATGCGACGGAGAACGCACATCCTCCAAGTGTCCCTTTTTTCCAGGGACAGCCCCAGAATTAGGAAAGCCATCCCGGCTTATGATTTCATCCCGGAATGTCCCTATTTCCCGCCGCCAGTGCCACTGCTGCAGCGCTCAGGGAAGAGGATGAGCAGGCGCTTGTCCCGAGCGGCTGTGGCTGCAGGGCAGCATCCCATAGCCTCTCCATGGCTGCTTCTGCAGGCCTCCTCCCTTGGGCAGCTCATAGCAGCTGATGGAGAGCGAGAGAGTGGGGGGCGGGGAGGCTGCTGCTGCTGAGGCCCAGCCTCACATGACACCCTGGCTCTGAGGTACAGGCAGATGGCAGGGCTGCCCCGGGTGGGAAGAAAGGGGGAGCACAAGGAGTCTTGTTTGGGTTTTTGGTTTTTAAATGCTTTGTGCATCTGTATCTTTGTGCATTTTGCCACTTTTTCAAAAATGATTTCTCTGCGTGTGTTTTTCTTTTTGCAAAACTGCCAAAGATTCTAATAATAATACAGTCATGCCTTGGGTTACAGCTGCTTCAGGTTGCGTTTTTTCAGGTTACGCACCTGCCGAAACCCGGAAGTACCGGATCGGGTTACTTCTGCCTTTCGGTGGTCACGCATACACAGAAGTGCTATATCGCGCTTTGCGCATGCGCAGAAGCGCTGAATCGCAACCCGTGCATGCGCAGAAGTGCCGCTGCGGGTTGCAAATGCTGCGGATTGCGAACGTGCATCCCACATGGATCACGTTCGCAATCCAAGCATCCACTTTAATAATAATAATAATAATAATAATAATAATAATAATAATAATACTTTATTACTTATACCCCGCCCATCTGGCTGGGTTTTCCCAGCCACTCTGGGCAGCTTCCAACAAGAGATTAAAAATACATTAAAACATAAGTCATTAAAAACTTCCCCAAACAGGGCTGCCTTCAGATGTCTTCTAAATGTCAGATAGTTGTTTATTTCCTTGACATCTAATGGGAGGGCGTTCCACAGGGCGGGCACCCTACCAAGAAGGCCCTCTGTCTGGTTCCCTGTAGCTTTCCTTCTCACAGTGAGGGAACCGCCAGAAGGCCCTCAGAGCTGGACCTCAGTGTCCGGGCAGAACAATGGGGGTGGAGACGCTCCTTCAGGTATACGTCAAATCAGGATTAAGGGGTTTTCTCAGGTCAATGGAGGATGTGTGTGCTGCGTCCCTTCTTCTGATAGGAAATACTATTTGGAGGGAGACAAAAAATGGGGGGTTGGGGTTGGGGAGGGTCAGTTGGCAGGGGAGTAAGAAATGTTTCTATTTTCATCTGAGGAATGTTGTAGGGTATGAGAACATAAATCTTCTCCCAAAGGAGTGGCAGCCCTGTCCATATCATCCTCCTCCTCCCTTCTTTCTTTCCATGTTGAAAGTTTCGAGATATGGGAAGCGGTGGCCTCAAGGAATGATGCCATGGTCCTGTTTTTTGCCCCAAGGGAACTCTGGGAAATCTTAGAGAACCAGGGTCTTGCTCAAGGTTGCGTCAGGCTCGCTAAGCCAGAAAGGGTCCCCTTCAAGCGCAGTGGGGAGCATAGGAATCTGCCATGCACTGAGTCAGACCGCTGGTCCATCTAGCTCAGTGTTGTCTACACTGACCGGCAGCGGCTCTCCAGGGTATCAGGCAAGGGTCTCTCCCAGCTCTACCTGGGTATGTTGGGGATTGAACCTGGGACCCTCTGCATGCAAGGCAGCTGCTCTAACCCCTGAGCCACAGGCCTTCCACAATGCCCAGTGTCACTTCCATGCCAGCTGCATTTATATATCAACAAGGCAACTGCACTCTAGAGTTGCAGGAGAGTTGGCAGCAGCTGAAGGCTTCTTCTGTGGCTTGATAAAGTGGCACAGCAGTATTTTACGTAAGCAAAGTTGTAGCATGTAACTTTTATTCAAAGCAGCAAAAATTATTGTGTGTTTCAGAGTTTAGTTGGGGCAGTTGTTCCTGGGATTTTTTTGATTTTATTTTTGTGTGTGTCTGTGTTTTTACATACTTGCTGGATGCTGGAGGGATCATGCAATCCTTGAATTAAGCTCCAGAATTATTTTATTCCTCACACATTTTCCGCCTATGGGCACCCAAAGGGAAGCTAAATGCATCTTTGCCGCATGCGCTGAAGTACACGGCAGTAAGAGATGCATGCAGTCCTTGCAAGTCTTCCAGAAAATATCCTTTGGCAGAAAAGATCACAGAAACCTGAGAATTTAAGTCTCCTCCCGAGCCACCAAGCATACCCTACGGGAGGATTAATTAGCAGCACAAGTGTTATTTTACGTCAGCACTGACACAATAGGGGTTTCTATTGGATTCGCACAAATGCAATCTATCCAGGGGTTTGAACACAGATCCATTGTCAGTGGCAATTGTGTGCATATGAGTTTGGTTATTATAGAAAACGAATGGCAGCCAGCTCGCTAAAGAAGAAAAAGAAAAACCCTCCAGGGTAAGAGAAAGGTCATGGAGCATCTGTTTACTAAACAGATCCTTGACGTGATGTAAGGCACAGCTTCACAAACCTCATCCTGGTGAGCCTTGTTAAATCAAGAATCAAAGTTTGGATCTCCTTCCTTCCCACAAAAAAAGAACTAATGGCTGCTTCTGCCCTTACATTTTGCATGGACATGCTGGTCAGGATGGGGAGAGTCAGGAAAGAGAAATATCTTATAACCAGTGCTTTTTTTTCTGTGGAGACTCCTCAAAGGTACACAGTACTGGCACTCAGAGATTGGCAGGAATTGTCTTTAAATTATTGCACTCTCTTGGGCAGGGGGACGTCTACGTCTACTCTCTTCTCGTCCATGTCCAGCTTGTGGACTTCCCACAAGCATCTGGTTGGCCACTGTGAGAACAGGATGCTGGACTAGATGGGTCACTGGCCTGATTCAGCAGGCTTTTATTACCTTCTTCATGTAACATCTGCTTTGGCCCTTAAAGGTAAAGGTAAAGGTACCCCTGACAGTTAGGTCCAGTCACGGACGACTCTGAGGTTGCGTGCTCATCTCGCTCTATAGACCAAGGGAGCCGGCGTTTGTCTGCAGACAGCTTCTGGGTCATGTGGCCAGCACATGACTAAGCTGCTTCTGGCGAACCAGAGCAGTGCACGGAAACGCCGTTTACTATCCTGCCGGACTGGTACCTATTTATCTACTTGCACTTGACGTGCTTTCAAACTGCTAGGTGGGCAGGAGCTGGAACTGAACAATGGGAGCTCACCCTGTCGCACAGATTCAAACTGCCGACCTTCCGATCGGCAAGCCCTAGGCTCTGTGGTTTAGACCACAGCATCACCCGTGTCCCATGCTTTGGCCCTTACTTTAGCTAAATTAGAATACAGTGCTACCTCTGATTACGAACTTAATTCATTCCGGAGGTCCATTCTTAACCTGAAACTGTTCTTAACCTGAGGAACCACTTTAGCTAATGAGGCCTCCCGCTGCCGCCACCGTGCAATTTCTGTTCTCATCCTGAAGCAAAGTTCTTAACCTGAGGTACTATTTCTGGATTAGCAGAGTCTGTAACCTGAAGCATCTGTAACCTGAAGTGTCTGTAACCCGAGGTACCACTGTACAACACTGTGTACAATCAATTGATCAAAACCATCAGGAGGACTAATAACAGCATTTCCCTATAAACATGCAAGCCACTAGATGCTGTTTTGAAATCCAGAGTTACTCTCAATATTGTTTCAAAAAAAGAAAAGCGTGTCATATGTTTATCTGGATTTGCAAGCGTGATTCATGCACCTTTCTGATAAACAAGGTATGTGTCCATTTCACTCTCCTAGACAGCCGGTTTCAGGAGATGAGCTAGCTCATGCCTTTTAACTCCTCATGAGATCAGCCAACTTCAATGTTAGAAAATCAAATTCATGGTCTGCCTGGCACTTGTAGGTGTTAGCCTGACTTTACATCACCTCCTGGCTAGTAAGATTCATATCTTACCAGCTTCTTTTCTTTGGCACTTTCCCCTCTCCTGGGTGTGTGCAGAGCTACAGTATCTCCTAGTAACACAAACATGTCAACAGTTTGCAAGGAGAACTGGCAAAGAGACCTGTGGCAAGCTATGTTCTCTCAGCCCTATCCCCTTCTCTGCAGCCTGGGAGTTAGTGGCACTGATTTGCTTACCTTTTACAGGGCAGTGGTCAGGATTTCAACCAGATAGTGCATGTCAAGTGCGACGAACACTTTTAAGTGCTTGACACTTCAGTCTCCTTCACCCCGAGGAAACTGAACCCTGGGTAAGAGCCTGGAACCTCTGGAAGGGAATGCTGATTGTTCCTTTAATGGCCCATGCTTAAATAGCCAGGTCCAAGAGACTTGTCCACATATTTCAGTAAATTGAATCCTTGTTTAGATTTTAACACTTGCTGGACCCAGGAATCAGAAGAGTCTCAGCATGCAGCTTACCCCTTCCAAGCTCATAACACTATATCAGAAGCTAATGCTAATAATAATGTTTATAAAATGTACAGTGGAGTTGGGGGGGGGGGAGAGACACCCTTCAAAGCTGCCACATCCAAAGTGCTCAACTAGACACCGCTGAGGCTACTTTGGAGGAGGGAAAATGCAGGAAAGCATCTGCTTGGATCATGACCATGAGCCTCCTTGTTCCAGCCGCAGATGTCCTGATGCAGCAAATCTAGCAAGACAAAGCACCAACAATACCAGGCTTGTCTCTGGGATAGAAAAAGGAAAAAAGCACCCAACTGTCTGCCTTGTCATTGTGTTTTCCCGCACAGCAGTACTTTATAGATTGGCCTGCTTTTGAGTCTTTCAAGGGTCCTTATCGCAGCCTTAGCCCAGAAGCCCTGCTTTTTATCAGCTGCTATTATACCCTGGCTCTCTCGATACCTTAGTGGTGCTCCCACATTCTTGGCTCATGGTTTTGAACAGTTGTCCGTAGCAACTAAGCTGCAACCAAGTGCTTGGTTTTGTAACTGCACATGAATCTGAAAATTAAGGTTATTAATTTCCATCCAGGAGAATGCAGTGTCGCTTACACACAGCATGAAATGTTTCCTGGGAAGCCTTTACAGGCGCCTCGTGCAGAAAGGCCCTCCACCCACCATAGCAGCCCAGGCTTAAGCACTAGCCACAATAAATTAGGGTTTTAGGAGATCATAACAGGCCCAGAACACCCAAATAAATAGGTTGTAAGTCAGGAAATATAAAGAGTTTATGTTTGCCTGGATCTTTAATCCTAGAAAGTTCATAAAACCATTTGGTAACATTGCCAGTAAGGTGACATAATACTGTCTGCGAGTATCAAAATACATTCAGCCCAGCTCACTTCCCCAGGCTATACACACATAAGCTGCAGGATAACTATCAAATGGATCTTCAAATTATAAATAAATTTGTCCTCTAAATTGTCCTGAAAACCCACACCTGCACATTTTCAAACTCAACAATTTGCAAAATCAGTGTTCTACATCAACATTTGACGTCTGACATATATACCGGTAATGTACAATTTCAATATTTTCTATTTTAATTGATAGATTCTAAGACACTCCCCCCCCCCCCGGGGCAGGAATCTATCTTCCAGTGCTGGCACCAGATTGGGGTGCTCTCTGGGACCATCATGACAGCTTGGTGGCGCCACAACGATAAGCTTACAAGGGCAGCAGGACTAACAGCACCCAGGCATAAAAAGTGTGTGAGACTGCAGGCACTGTTAATAAGCTCCAAAAGCACAAGGCAATGAATGAAGGAAAGAAAACTGTTTCTGTTACTGGGGACTTCCATTGAACAAACAGACCTGAATCAAAACTTGCTTCATTGAGGTTGGGAAGATCTTGACGTGTTAGGGAAGGGGGCCTTGTGAATCATAGTACTAGAAATGGCAATGAGTTAAAGCATTTTGCAGAACACTGCACCGGAGGGTTGTCAGATCTCAGCTCAGAGAGCCTCTGCAGAAGTTCTGAGGTAGTGGGAGAAGATGTAGCTACTGTGTCTCCTTCGCTGATCCACCACTTAGTCTACCCCAGTAGCAGCTGTGCTCATTGGGAATGGTAAGGGAGAAGGCAAAGAGACCAGCAGTACTTTCTTGTTCTTTCTTGATCTCCTGCCCTCAGGCAGAAGATACAGAAGCATGATTAGTCGCACCAACAGGGTAAAGAACAGCTTCTATCCATGGGCTGTTAGGCTGATGAATGAAAAGATAACAACAGGACAACTGACTTTCGGGTTTGGTGGGTGTGCATCAGTAAACGAGGGGAATTAAGATTAAGAGAGCTGAGTGGGGGGTATTCGTGTAATCTCACTGTATACAAGTTGTACAAGTGACAATAAAGTATTTCAATTTCAATTTCAGTTACAGTAGGGGAAGCTAGCACAATGACAGGCAGAGCCAAATAATCCTAGTTTTCTAGTACCCATCCTTCTTCCTGCTGACTTCTGCAAGCGCAACACTGTAAGGAGGATAAGCAGTGCTACCCGCTTGGACTGGTTATAAATGAGAAGGCAGACAGGTGAGGGTTGGCTGAGGGTAGAGGGAGCTTGGTGTGGGCAGTGCCCACTAGTCCTAAGGAAAGAAACCTTCCAATGAAAGCTTTTGAATTAATTCCCCAAAATGTGAGTCGAGTGTCTGTCAGTATTTGATCGTAGACATACAACGGCATTTTGATATTTTTCTTTTTTCTTTTACAGGCTATTGTTGGAACTGTGACAGTTATTTGATGACAACTTGCATTGTTCATTATTTGAAGGCTGGCATTATTTG